AGCAGGAATACAGCCCGGAGCACCAGACCCACCTAACTGCAACATGTCACAGCAAGCGCGAGCACAGAGTTAAATCCTCGCTTCTTTGCTGAGCCCATAAACTAGCACCACCCACCTCCGAGTTAAAACTATACATTTAAAGCAAATAGGCGCGTAACAGATTTAAACGTTAAAACGTCCACGCTACAGCAATCGGCTCCGGCAGTCGTGCCAAGGAAGAATGAAGGCATTTACTGAACGAGCAGATTCTGAGTTATCTTCCGAGCGCTAAACATCTGCTATAGCTCCTATCAAGTATCTTTCGCACGGCTAATACTATAGTATCTTATGTTCTTCATCAGCTAAAGTATTTGGCTATGGCAGAGGTTTTTTAAAATAACACTTTACAATATGATGTCAAAAAGGAAAAAGATGACAGGACGTACAAGGCATGTTAGCGGGCACAGATACCGTTACAATACGTGTACTAGAATAAAATATCAGCTGCTCTAGCCAGCTAAAAATGTACGCCACGATGAAAATGTAACTTTCTCTGTAAAATTTTTCACCTTATTCATTGATACGATGCGTACTTCATAGCAGTATATTACTGCAGCCTTCTCACAAAGCTGAGCTCTGCCAGCAGTTTTACTCCAGCCTGTTACGTCCAAGACTTTAGAACTATTTTTAATTAAACTGTTGCAGAATTACAGTGACTGCAGAAAAGTCCTTGCGCTTCATTGATCCGAGTTCACTTCCCACTTTTTAGAAAAAGCCCTCGAACTATTTTAAATGCACTCAGGAGACCGGTACCTTAAGTGGTGAGATTTACGAACGGTCAAAGCGCTGCGCCATCTCAGATTAGTATTACCCCTTTTATCCCGGCGTGGAGAGATATTGCCCTGACTAGGTATGACAGCTGCATCGCAGGCTGCAGGAAGGAGGAGCGCAGCACCGCACGTGACACTCCTGTGATATTGTTCGAACGCAAACAAAATGATCCTCAGAATAATGCTCTCTTAATTATTTCCCCCCCCGGCCCAAGAACAGAAATCAAAGCGTTCGTGTATTTTGCCCGTGGCTGCCTCTGTTTGCATGACGTATAGCATGCTAAGGCTATTTAATAAATTAGAAATAGCTAGGTCACAGTGGGTCAGCTTACGCAAAGCTGCTGCTCTGCACGCTCTGTGAAGGTCCTCAGGAGATGACTAGCTGAAGGGAGTTGGTCGCAGTCCCTGCGAAGCGCACGAGGCTGTGCCCTCTTCCCCAGGTAGTTTTTGTTTGAGAAAGGGGCTTTTTGGCAGCCGTGCAGGTCAGCCAACATCAGCGGTGCCGCTGGGCAGAGCCCTGAGCACGCCGAGGACCGCAAAGGTCCTCCACAGCGTGCAGCTTCTCGTGATTGCCCATCATTTCCACGTTCCAGCCCGAGCACACCTCCGCTCTGCTTAGCCTACGGAGCACGGGGCTCCAACTAGGGTTATTCAGAAAACAATTAGCCAAACCTCATTTCAGCCTGTTCACAGAACAGCCACCGGTTCCTTATCCCGTGAGGCTGCTTTCAGGTGACAACATAATGATTTTGTTGACCCCCTTTCAATTTGCTGGAGGGCGTAAACCACAGAAAATGAATTAACTCCACGTTGTTACTGGTACTGTTTATAACGTATTGTAAGACTTCTTACACGGTCTGGGAAAAGAAAAATTGGGTTTATATATGCGTATTTCTTTTTGTTCCCTGTTCAGTAATCTGTTCTTTCCATTCATTTATAGCTGATTTTCTTGTACAAATGGAGGGAAAACCAAAATGTTGCTTCTTTAAGTTTAGCTCTAAAATACAATATAACAAAGTAGTAAAGGCACAATTGTGGATATACTTGAGACAAGTCCAAAAACCTACAACGGTGTTTGTGCAGATCCTGAGACTTATTAAACCCCTGAAAGACGGTACAAGATATACTGGAATTCGATCTCTGAAACTCGACATGAACCCAGGCACTGGTATTTGGCAGAGTATTGACGTGAAGACAGTGATGCAAAATTGGCTCAAACAGCCTGAATCCAATTTAGGCATCGAAATAAAAGCTTTTGATGAGAACGGACGGGATCTCGCTGTGACTTTCCCAGGACCAGGTGAAGATGGATTGGTAAGTGTATTCAGAAAAATCCCATTTAAAAATCTTGCATTTTACTGGAAAGCATTTAAGTTGTGTTTTAAGGATAAAATGGAAGCATTGTTTAGGGAATGGAAGGTGCAAGTTCTGTAGAGCCAGTTCTTTTGTTCTTTGCTCTCTGATGATGCCAAAATCAACAGCGTTCCTGTGCCTCCGTTCCCCTATTTGAAAGATCGAGACAAATGACAGTACTTCAGTAAGATGTTGAGAGGCACTAACTGGAAAATGTTTTGGTAAATACTGATGGATGGTACCACCAAAGGTAACGCTGTTTTCAAATTTGAGAGCAAATCCTGTTTAATAAGCAGTAAAGCTGAAAGGAGTAGTTGCTGGATCATTTCATTGATAGGAAAGCTGCCTCTGATAGTGCTGAGAGTTTTGCATTCGAGCTGTGAGAGAACCTCTCTCTACTCTGTGCACGTAGACCTTCTTCGTAACGTCGCGTACCTTTCAGCACGTGACAGCACGCATCATTCCACCTGTTAGAAATGTTTGAATGGAGAAATTCTGCTTGATACAGTAAAGGGGTCATGATGATGAGAAAGGGCATAAAATAACTACCTGGTTTCTTTCTGTACGTATAGACGAACAAATTAAGTCTGAGGCATACCAGTTAAACTACAGCATTTTCCTTGTTATTTCTTTCTGCAAATCACTGCTCATCCACAACCTATAAAAATTCCTGAACCTGTCACAGCTAAAATGAGCACAGCTACGAAACCCCTCCTTTTGAATAAGGAATATTATTTTACTTCTACTGCTACGCAGTAGATCAGTCTGTTTATGTAGCTACATAACGTTTAACTTCATAGCATGCAGTTAAAAGAACCTAAAGGAAAAACGCTGCGATAGCTTAATTGTAGTTCCAGTACAGATGTGTATCTCGAGGTACTTGGAACAGGCCAGCTGGATATCATGATAAAGAACGTCCTCACCTCCTCCATCCACCCAAATACCCAACACCATGGTGGATAACCCACGGTCATCATCATCTGTAAACAAAAACCAAACCTCATTCAGCAGCAGGGCAGGGTTAGATGCGTGGCTGATAACGGGAGAGGAAATTTCTCCTCTCTTCCCTCTGGCTGCTCTCCGGCAGCTCTGGGTACGGGGATGCCCCTCTCCATATCACTTACCTTCGGGAGGAGCGTCTCCAGCAGCTGGACAACTTCCAGCCATAAAGGCGGGTATCTTGGAAGGGTCAAACCCGCATAACCGAGTTAGCTGGGCTGTTCTTCACTCCTAAGGAATGGTCTTCCTTCGTGGGACAGCCCGGTCAGTGCCAGACTGACATCCGGGGCTGAAATCCACGCGTGGAAGGGAGGAAACTTCAGGAACTTTGTCAAACTCGTGATTGTAAAGGTTGCAATTTCTTTCTATTCTCAGTCGGTGACCGTGGAAACACACCTTCGCTAGGAAGCACGTGGCTCGGAGGTCTGCCAAAAGTACATTCCTGGCCACGGAGCTCTTCCAGGAGTCAAAATATTAGCTGTCCCTCCAAATCCAGGACAGTAAATTCAGCCCTCTGGCAGAGGGGAAAGCTGTGAAGTACAAGAAGCCTGTCCCAGCAGGTGAAACGCTCACTTCTACTGCCATTGCAGTCAGGCAAGAACGGTAGCAGTTCTGGAGTGATTTTTCTCCTCCTTGGTCTGGACAAGAAGCCTTTCATGATATCCAGAAAGCCTGAACCAAATATGATTTTAATGGAAGGAATTTCAGGAGGACTCACAAAAAGGAGACCAACGCCAGTCAGTCCTGCTCTTGAAAAGTTTCTGGAGTTCTTGATTTCCTTCCTCAAAATTTCTAGAAACCTTTCAGCATTTAGTAGAAATGACACTAGTACTGAGATGATGGTGATTTCAGGAAGAGATACTCAGAAGTTAAAGCTCTTTATGGAGCACGAGCAGGGAAATGCTGGTCCTCAGTACGAAAAAGAGGAATAAACCTTGAGTAGAGATTTGCAGGAGGACAAAGTGTTGTTTGCAAACCTTATTTGAGGTCATTAATTTGATACATCTGTCTGAGATATTGTCTACTTGCATGTTTTCTCTGAGTTTAGGCTTACCTCAGTAACGCTTCCAATTCCTTCTCCTCTCCTCGCAGAACCCATTCCTAGAGGTCAGAGTCACAGACACGCCGAAACGCTCCCGCAGAGATTTCGGCCTCGACTGCGACGAGCACTCGACAGAATCCCGATGTTGTCGCTACCCGCTCACGGTGGATTTTGAAGCTTTCGGCTGGGACTGGATTATCGCACCTAAAAGATACAAAGCCAATTACTGCTCTGGAGAATGCGAATTTGTATTTTTACAAAAATACCCGCACACTCACCTTGTACACCAAGCAAACCCCAGAGGTTCGGCAGGCCCTTGCTGCACGCCCACCAAGATGTCCCCCATAAACATGCTGTACTTCAACGGGAAAGAACAAATAATATACGGCAAGATACCGGCCATGGTTGTAGATCGCTGCGGGTGCTCGTGAGATCGGCGTTACATCCACCGCTTCGTAAATTGTGGAAGCTACCAAAAACACCAGTCTTTGAATCTGTGAAGTTACGTACGCTAGGCATTGCCGACGTCCTACGCGCTGTATGATAGGCCATCGTACAGCTCTAGTGCAGCATCAGCTACAGAACGCGAACTAAAGGGCGACAGAGTTACCCGACGGCTGGCTTTGAGCCCGTGAAAAAGAAAAGCCACAATCAAACACCACTGCGTTTAACACATGAAGCTCTTACGTTGCGAGGGAATCAATACTCCGTGATTCAGACACAAATTTCTACGCAGGTTTCACTACTCGCCGGTAACCAAAAGCGAGCTCCTTCTTATCTGAGGATGGAAGGAGCAGGCTTTTAAGTCCATTTCTTCACAGCTTCACTTAATATCGCATTTACAGGAAAACATATACTGGTTAATGTATACACCACTACGCACTACCACCAGAATCATCCTTCAACACTTGAACATATAGTGCAGAATTGTGAAATGTACCAGATGAAATTCCACATCAATGGACAAACCCTGAACTTAGGGATGGCACAGTGTATTTAGCGTGTTTCCATTCCTTTTTCTCATTAGTATGTTAGTAATCAATGGCAATGGTGCTACGTAAGCAGGCTGAGTAAATAGAAAGATAGTTATCTAAGTGAAAGAATTTAGACTCATAGTGAATTTGCCCTATCCTCAGGTACACTATTCAACATTCGCAAGAAATAGGTATTTTTTCAATGAAAGGGAATAGTTTTCTAGGCGTAGTAAAACAAAAGGCAGCAGCGCAGTCTACCACTCCGATCGTAATCCCACATGATAACCTGCCTTTGCAACATTACCGTTTGCACTATGATAAACCAATGCAAATAGCTGGTTGCTACAGATATTGTTTAAAAAACCACTTTGATATAACTGACTTGTGTAATATGTATGCATCAATATTTTGTAAATAAATGTTTATTTTTTAATCACTGTTGGTATATGTTCATCGCAAGAAAAGAATGACTTTAACCTGTACTTTAGTTTAAGAAACAAAAAACAATATTCTTTTCATAATATAATTTTCTGGATTTTAACACAAATAATGTGTAGGAACAATGCAACAAAGTAAACCATATGTTGAGAATTATGCTACATTTTGTATGTTTTTTACATTGGTATGAGCCATCTGTGATAGATGATGGGTGTTGACATGTTTATAAGGTTCTTTGGGTTACCGTTTTTATGGTCATTTTGATCCACAATTGAATTTCCATACTTTGAATGTTATGTCTATAAGTGATGATACCACAGAAAAGTGCTATTAAATGCATTTTATTATATTTAAAAATCTGCATCTAAGTATTATCTTTATTCAAGCAGACATAGTACACAGATTTCCACACAAATTCTGTGCATTTTCCTCATGATAAAAAATTAATCGTAATTGAAAAAAAATCCATTTACTATGAAGTCCATGTTGTTTCACACATGAAGTGCATCTGATAAAAGAAGTGTTTGCTATGACAACACAATCACTGTTGAAACATCTCCATGTTAGTATGATGTCCATTTTTGTTATATTCCAGAATCCAGTTTCCTTTGTGTAAAACCACCCTAAAACCAAAAAAAAAAACAAGGACGTTAAAATCTCAAGTCTGAGGGATGAGGTTTGAAATTTAAAAGCAAACAGATTTTCTACGATTTCTTTTGAGCGATTAGGAGCCCTGCTACAGCTGCGTCTGCGCACCGAGCAGATGTTCAGCTTCTCCTGATGCAGCCCATCAGAGCGGGCCTCCGGGGGCCTTACATACATTTTCAATTTAGTTTCTCACAAAACACAATCAGGGTAAATAAGAGAGAATTTAAAAGCTCTTTAGCGTACTGAGTCTCAGTGAAGCCACAAGCAGAGCAAGTGCAACACAACTCCTTCTTCTCCGAAACCCACGGTTGCAGAATTAAGGGCGAAGTCCTAGGTTGGTTGAAGTTGGCAGCAAAACTTCCACCGGCCGTAGAGACGGCCGACACTGCGCCCTTTGACTTTTAACTCGTTTTGTTCAGGCACAGACAGGCCCTGCTCATTCCAACCACCCACAGCATCTCTCAGCACAAAAAGCCTCTCAAACCAGTCAGAGGCTTCAAATGAACTTCCAGTGCACGCCAGGTAGTGAGGTTATGAATTAATTATGAATTCAGTTAGCTTTAATCAGGTCCATTCACACAGCAACGGCCGCAGAGACGTGGCAGCTTGGATTTTGGAGCTGACAGCAAACAAGATATGTTCCCAGCCTGCACCGACGTCCCGATGCAATGCCTGCGTGATTGTTTCCATTCACGATAGCTAAACTCCAGCTAATCCAAACTCAGTTACCCCCACATCAGTGACACTCTTGGCTGTCCAGCAATAACTGCACCCTGCACCAGCATTTTGCACAAGTGGTGGAATTTTTTTTGCTAGTGTCAGTAAAAGCAAAAATAAACCGAAACTAAGAAAAGAAATAACCCGAATTCCTAAGAGCATCTCCTCCAGCCAGCATCCCATCTTGACGTTCAGGGGGATTTTATTCCGTGGAAGTTCTGTGCAGTACGCGTCCTTCGGATTTTGCCAAACTTCAAGTTGTCGTAGAGCAGCCTTGTTTTCAGTGTTGGTCTCACATACCAGTGGCTACTCAGGGAACACACACTGAGCTTTGATCTTGATGCTGAGTGATTCATAATTAATGTGTTCATTGACAATTGATTTGAGGTGTCCATGATTCATTCAGTGCTTATTGGTACATCCTTGTATTTCCAAGGCTAGAGACTTCAGCGGCACCTGAGTGCCTGCTGCGCCAAAACCAGACAGCTCAGTGTTAAGCTGGGTAGCCAGAAACACCAAAATATGCAACGACAGAATTTAATGAGAGAAGTAAATGGCCTCATTTCCTTGCCCGCCATCACAGGAACCCCATAGGAGCGACACAGGCAGAACCCAGCTCTCCAAGGCAGCATTCCAGCACCCCGAGACGCGTGTGCACGCCGGTGATGGGGCAGCCCCTCACCTCGAGTTTGCTTCAGCTCTTCCTCTCGGCTCTGCCACCCAGCTCCTCCTCTCCCAATCGGACCCAGTCTCCTTGCCCATGATGTTCTGCCCCTGCCTCCTGCCCAGTTCTAGGGCACCCACGTTCAGGTAGCACTTCTCCTCCCATTTTTCACAGCCATCTCCCAGCCTGCACCCATCCCCAGCCCGTGGCAGACCCCACGCTCTGCCCCACGGCCCCTTTGGCAGGAGGAACAGCCCCCCTGCCCCTTCACCAGATCCTGCTTCTGCTGAACGCTGCCGTCTGTGGCGGGGGGAACCTTCCAACACGCTCAAACGCAGTCTGCGGGGAATTGAACAGCTGACGCAGAAGTCATCACCACTAAGCATCTGCGAGCTGCAGTTTTTCACAGATGTACTGTTTTGCTAAATACGAGCAGATTTCGAAGGAAGAACTAAAGGCCAAATCCATTCATAGCTTTAGGTAACTTCTTGATTCTGCAGAGTCCAGGTTTGGGGTTTTGGGGTGTTCATTGGTGTCTCGGGGTTTTTTTGTAGGTTTTTTTGGGTGGTTTCTTTTTTAATCAGGGAGATTATTGAATTGACTCATTCTTGGATGTGAACAAGCTCTTTTGGCTAAGTATCTTAAAAAAGAAATCAGGCTGAGACTAGGCTTGGACAGCTCAGTCCAGGCAGTTACATTTTGTTAAAGTTACAGCAAGACAAAGCACAGTATTACAATGCGGAGTACTGGATGGACAAACTTCATAACCAAACGATCCCACCTCCACTTATACAGTTAGTGAACGGCAATTTAAAAACGTTAGGAAACAGCAGGTTATGGAGAGCACTATCTAGAAGCTTTACACGACAAGTTTATCTCGAAACAACACCGTACCTATGTAGTTCAGCCACAATGTCTCTAAGAACCTTGGTTACCTGTTTTAACTGACCCAACTTAGCCACGTGCTTGCACTTTAGCTTCATCCCAACAGTGTCATCTACACCACGTATGTATCTATACATTGATCTACTACCAAGACACACGCCAAAGAACCACTCAGTCAATGACTAATGCGACTGCATCTGCTTCTCTACACAATCTTCCCCTGCAAGTGGCAAGACCATAACTCTCCCTTGAAATGCACGTGTAGCACTTGTGAATCCATAAAAATAAGATGTTAACAAGCTCTGGAAACACTAAAGCGCCAATTCTCTCTCCGGTTTAGCTTATAAAAGCCCTGATGAGATCCAAAGGAAGAAGTTAGGGCTACAAGCCAACTTCGGGATTTGAATAGGCAAGAAGTACAGCTCTGTTCTCTCTTGCCTGTTTCTAAATAATCACAAAAGAAGTGACAGCGCCAGCATCCGCTGAAGCAATCTTGTAGAAAAAAAAACCAATGGAGAAGCGCAAACGTACAGCCCATTCAACAGTGAACCACTGCAACTGGTTACTGGGTGTATTGATAAGCTAAGCAGAATCACTCTCTGGCGGTTGGACAGGGTGAACTTGAGGTATGAGCAACAAGTAGAGTGGGTGTTCCACTGTCTGCTTTCAGTACTCCAGAAGCACAGCTGACAGCAAGCCTTGAACCCCTCTGTAGGTGAGGGGTCAAGCTCAGCGACGAGCTTTACAGCATTTTGGGTGTAAATCTGGCTGACTTTCACCAGCCTTGACCGCTAAGGCTTCCTGACGCTACAGGAAAGGCCGTTCCTTTTCTTCAGAAGTGGATGTAACTCGCACTAAGCATGCTTTCAAAATGGCAGTTTCCAGAGGAAATAAAATAGCTGAGTGCCCACGAGTCAACCCGTGATGCATCAGTTCTGAACCTAGAGGCTGTCTGCACTCTAAATCTAATTACGCATCCGAAGTAACCAGTGACCCTAAAAGTTATTACTTTTTCTCTTCCTAGAAATGTCTTTCATCACAAGTCAAAAACCAAATTTAATTTCAAACCTGTTGCTTTTCCATTATATTTGCCATACTACCTTGAGTCCTTAATAGTACAGCCATTCCCTCTTCACGAGCTGACAGGATTCAGCTCGAACAAGTCCCACCTGCGAGCAGGCAGAGGGCCAAGCCCTGGCTCAGCA